AATAGAAAGATCATCAAGCTGTGTAAAAGGAAATTGTGTTTAAACCGTGTAATCAGTGTATAAATCAAGTTTTGAAAGGCTATTGGGTATAAAATTTTATAGAAATTGTTATTCTTCTTATTAACTGACCTTCGTGGGCAATCTTTACAGCTTGGCGTGGATTGTGTGGTTGATGAGGGTGAGGTGGACAGAGCAGCAAATTGTCTAGTGTTGGAGTGGGCGGAAAAACTTTGGTCTCTTAAATTTGAAAGCATTCGCGACTTGGCTCTTCATCTGGTTAACCAAAGCTATGTGGACAACAGGTCAATGGCAGCCTTCACCCTGCTGTCAGTAACAGACCAAAATCAAGGTAAATTGTGGATATATGTGACAGTAAGATTTCCATAACTTTATTGCTATTACGTTGCTGGTTAGTAATTTCCTGCATTTGCTGTGCTTGTGATAGATCTCCATTGTGTTTTTACACAAGTAATAATAAATCTTGTGTAAACCTTACATATGTATGAAGATGATGGACATATAAGAAAAATCTTTAACCCTTTATTATGGGAGACCCATTGCCATACTGGGCCATGCAAAATCAGCAGCTCAAGGAAAAAAAATAGAAGTGCAGGAAACAAAATGACCCCACTCCCTGTGCTCTTAGCTGTGGCATAAATGATTCTTTAGATAGTGAGGCTAGAAAGATGCCTCATCCCTACTTTAGAGGGGCTGTTTCTCCTCAGTGAATGCATCTAAGGCCAAATAAGTGCATTAATGTTTAGTGCACACAACTTGCAGCAAGCTTGCCCGCACATGATATAACAATATCACCCATCTTGAATGGGGTGAAAGTAGATTTAATAACTGAAATAAGTGTTCAAACTTCTTGACTAACATTCAGATATAAATTTATTTTCCTTTTGATATGGAAAAAGTAGAGTTGATTGACATTTTTTATGGTATTCAGAACTTGAGACTTGAAAATTTGCAATTTCCATTTACATCATGATTTTCAGGGATAGCATTTTTTAGACACTCTAGGGGGATGTCTTTAGTAGACAATAAAGATTGCCTTTCCAGAAAGTATCAGATTGTTACTTTTCTTGCACTGAGACAGAAATGTTCCATAGACTGCAGATGTTTTTGATAATGTCAGAAAGTTTTTTAAACAAAAGATAAAATTACCAATTAGTTAAATTTAATACATTATATTTTAAGTGGTCCCTTCATATAGGACAAGAAAGTTTTCTTAAAATGAATTGAATCTTCCAGGCATGTTGGTGAGTGGAGGGACAGGGGGTGGAAAGCACAGAGAGACTCAGCTGCAACTTCAACGAAAGTTACAGGAACGGGAGCACATCAGAGAGCAGAAGAGGAAACTGCAGGTTTGGGAATGATTATTTATTTATTTTTAAATTGGTTATTTGTTTAATTAGTTAATCAATTAATTTATTTATAATTTTTAAAAGAGTTAGTGGTAACTAAATCAACTTCTAAAGTAACTACCAGTTTCAGTTGATCATGATCTGTAATTATAGTTTATTTTGACATGCTTATTATTCCCATAGCTTATCATGAGTATAGTCAGCCAAAGAATAGTTCTGCATGATATGCTTACCAGTAATTCCCTTTACTTATTGCTTCCAGGAGCAGCAGCCAGCCATCAACAAGGCAAACAACGAGCGGCCAAAATCTCGGAGGAGGAGTGGGGCATCACGCAATCCTTCTGGTGAGACTGTGACCAATGGCACCTCTGTTGTGTCATCAAAGTCTAATTCCCATCACCCTCCAGCAGCCGCTATCACCACCACCATTACTGCCACTACAAACACCACTAATGGCAACTGTGATAGCCTCCTCTCTGAGCTTCCTAATGGTGCTACAGGAGATATCGCAGCTGGTGATGGCAATAATATTGTCAGCATAACTAATATCAAGCAGGAAGAGAGTCTAGAGTTTCTGGACTCGCTCACAGATGACAAGCTCCTAGATGCCAAGGTAGTTATAGATGGCAAGAATGGAAACTTTCACAGCAACATCATCACGAATGTGGGCCATACGCAGCAACCGCTCAGAAGAAATTGCAATACAAATAACAATTGTGATGTCAAGGCTCCCTGTAACAAAGTACCAAACCCAAAATCTAACCCTGCCAAGAAACCGTTCCTTATTATGCAGTCCAGCGCTCCCAAGACCACATCACCCAAGTCCAGGTTCAAAGCCATCCAGCCTAAGGTTACTGACAGCATGCAAGGGACATTGCCTGTGGGATCTCAGTGGTCAGACATATTAGGAGGCACAGAGGACATCACACACCCTAAAACTGAAGTCCTTTTGCCTGTAAATTATGGTGGCCAGTTGATGGTTGAGTCTGGAATTCAGCAAGTGACTCAGCGTGAACAGCAACAGCAGCAGCAGCAACAACAGCAGCAGCAGCTCCAGCAGCAACAGCAACAACAGCAGCAGCAGCAACAGCAACAGCAGCACCAACAGCAGCACCAACAGCAGCAGCAGCAACAGGTTCAGCAAAGACAAAATCTGACTAATAATAACTGCACTAATAGTCATGAGGCAGAAGAAGAATTAATACAGTACTTCCACAAAAATGCTGATATGGATGATGCTCAGAAGTCAAGTCAGCTGTCAGAATTGCGGAAATTGCTTCAGAGAAACCTACCAGGGGGTCAAGCTCAGGGGGGAGTGGGGGTCGGTGCTCATCCACTGATGACTGATACAGACATTGATCAGGATGTGCAGGGAACAGGAGGAATGAGAAGAAGAGTAAGTTTCCAACCATCACTGGATGGAGGAGACAACTTGAATCCTCTTATGGGAGGACAGACTGTGGGGTCAGTGCCACCAAGTCCCAATACACGCAGAACTCAGTTTAATTTTACACCAATAGGGAGTAATCTGGACCAAACACAGGGTATGTCTCAGTGCTCTAGTGCAAATGCTAGCCCATTTATGTCTCCACGGAATACCCCATTACCTAGATCGAGACACAACTCTGGTCAAACTAATTCAACATATGTAACACCTCGTAGTACACCATTTACACCAGACCAACCAAACCATCCAGTTGCGTCTGAATGCAGCACACCATTCATGTCACCAATAACAACACCCTTGTTTCCAAGGTCACGTCACAATTCAAATCAGAATCATCGCAGTCCGTACACCCCTAATTGCCGTTCCCGGCACTCCTCTGGTGCCCCTACTTTTAGACATGCACCGTACACCCCAGATGACATGTCTAGTCGGCGTGGAGGGAAGTTCCGTTCAAGACATTCATCAGGAAGTGTTCCACCATCTCCTTCCTCTGCTCCCCTCTCGCCACTGGTGCAAGATGGCTCAGTTCACCCCCCTCAAGACTCAAGCATACAACTCCCTTCAGCCTCCATGTTACATCATATGCTCAAGAATAAACAAACTGTAAGTGGGTACAGTGACTTGCGCCGTCGACACATGTCAGCAGGGCCAACTATCCATTATCAACCTCAGCCTCCTGCTTTCTCTATTGATCCATTATCCCAAGAGGTGTCCAATGTTATGACAAACTCCCAACCTGGACCGAGCAATGCCCTACCAGGTAATCTGAATAGACCCCAATCAGTTCCACCTTTACAGATGCTCAATATGCCATCCTGTACTCAAGAATCTTTTGCAAAATCACATCCCAACACACCTGTTGTTAATCAGCAGTTTGTGTTCACTGAGAGTTGTGTGTCTCAACCTTCCTCTTATGCACCTACTCCTGTACCCAGTGAATGCAATGACTTTACTGATAGTTATAATTTAGAGATTGACCCGATGCTGGATGTCAATTTGTCTGGTGATGCAGGAGGGACTGTTGGGCTGGATTCCATGGATTCATTGACTCTGACTAATAGCCATACAACAGACCTATCAACACTTTCAGACCCTCTGCAAGTTCCTCCTAACATTGACCCCTTTTCTGTGAGCTATACTTCAGAAGCTGGGGATATGAGATGTATGGAAGAGCAAATAGGAGTAAGTGAAGTGACTCTGAGTAGTAGCAGTTGTTGTATGGATAATATACAAGGACAGCAAGTTGATAGTGGCGGTGGTGGTGGTGGACAGGGACCATTAATCAGTACAGCCTCCATGCTCACGCTCAACGCTCTAAACCGCTCATCGGAGAATCCTGGTAGTGGGCTGGAGGAGGACTTCAGGCCAACATTGCCGGATCTGGGTGATCAGGAAGTGTTCAATTCTTTGGTGCTGGATGTGAATAAAGACTGACATCAGCCTGCCACCTGGGCAAAATATTTGACATAAATTTGTCAGCTGCTGAGGGGGCACCCATAGTCATGAAAACTTTAAAGCTCGTGTTTTAAAGATGTGAAATTTGGGTATCCTGGCTGATGTTTACCTCTTCAACACAGACACAGTGCTGAAGCACTAGCACAGATATGCCTGATTTGTATACATAGGAGTATAGTTTAAAGTATACATATGTACATTTTGAGTCCAGTTTTGGTATGCTGGAGTCAAGCTTAAATATTTCCTATGTATACTTGACTTTGGCTTGAGATATATCTTGTTTGCTTAAGCACAGCTTAAGGTATGCCTTTGCATATTGAAGTCCGTCTGGAGGTACATTGCCTATTGGAATCCATCTTTAGGTATACTGCTATATGCTGAATCTTATATTGTGTATACTGAGGTCCAGTTTAAGGTGTACCTGTATATGTGAATCATAAGGTTCTCTGGACTGCCAGAGTCTGGCTTTTTAGCTTTGATTTTACCAGTTTCCTGCAACTGCCGGGTATGTGATTCAGGAAATATTGGTGTTAACTTTTGTACTTTTTCTCTCTTTTTATCCTGAGCTACTAGTCCCAACTAGTAGGTTGTCAGAGAGAATCAACTCTCAGACAAATGTGATCTCAACAAAGGAACTTCTATATTTTAGCTCCCATAATTAGAATAAGAGAAAATAATTATTCTACCAAGCTCATTGCAGCAACAGTGAGTAGTTGGGGTACCGAATGGCACTGGGAAAAGATTGTTACAAGATGTTCGCACATCTGGCCCATCTCTCTGAGGTTAGAGCATCACAGTTTGTTTCTTACTTTGTCAATAGCTGCATGTGGCTGTGAATATACCCCATACAGCCATTGTGTCTATGTCTAGTGTGGCATACTTCTTGTTGGTCTTAATTTTTCTTCATATTGCAAATTGGTAATATTCAAGATTTTAACATTTATCCTTTTTTTTTGTAAACTTGTAAGTTTATATATTTTTGGGCTTAACTGTGTTGCTTTAGTGAATTTATTAAAAATAAATATTAACCACATAATTGCACTTGGTTCCTTTTCAAAGGATGTTACATTTCAAGTTAAATTGAAACTTAAACTTGCTGCTTTTCACCTGAGCAGCAGGTGTTGGCAACATCCATACTTCTGAGAAGTTGTGGCATCAAAGTCAAGCTCTAAAAGACTTGAGGAGGTTTGGTAGTGATTGAGGATTAGGTTTTGCTTGCTAGTTTGGCAGGTCAGAACCTTAGTTGAATGTGCCCAACTGCTAAGTTTTGTTAATTTACTTTAATTTACTTGTTCCCAAGTATGGTTTAACTTCCAGGTCTTTGCAGCTACACAGCAGCATAAGTCTTGTTGTAACTTGAGACTTGGATATCTTTTTACAAATCTTCAGCATTGTGTTAAAATGCTGCAGAAATTGTGGACACATTGTGTACCTTGTATATATGTATTAAGATGTGTAATATAAGTAGTTTTGACTCTTGGATGTTTGTGGATTTTAGCAGAGGTAGAATAAGGCATTCAGTGTTTACTTTTTCACTGTCATGACAAAGCATTGACATTAGTTCTTATATACACAACCATTGGTTAGGAAGCAGCGACCGTGTCAGCTGTGGTGTGTGGGAGGGTCATCAACACATAGGTTTAAGTAAGCCAGCAGCAATGATGGTGTGCTATAAGAGAGTATGCTCAACAATATATTAACTAGATTTTATTGTAAATTATACGGGGTTCTTAACACTCCATAATGTATCTGTGATAACAAAGAAAAAGAAAAAAAAACATACAAAAAGTTTAATATTTTAAAAGTCTACAGCAAAAAGATTAATTTGTAGTTTTCACTTTTTTGAGTTACTGCAAAGGTTATTTTAGTAGGTAGGTATATCTATATATTTTTACCCCACCAACTTACTTTAAATCCATGTGTAATTTTGTGATCTCGACCATTGATGTCAGGGAGTAGTTTGTGGTGTCAGCTTAGATAAAACAATCCAGGAGTAGTGTGCAGAACTGATTGGATATGACCATCAAAGCAGTGCATTTACCATGTTTGGTGTGTACCCAGGCGTGGAAGTGAAGGGAGTAGAGCAGTCATTAAATAGCGGATGCTGGAAGTAAGGAATTGGAAGAGAGAGCTAAGAATTATAGATACACAAGTCACTTTGATTTTTAGTAAGTGCAAGGGTTGTAAAACAAGTGAAGACCAGACAAAATTAAGTTCTTATGTTCTATAAAAGTAAAGAAAGGGAAGATGGATATGTAATGCTTGGATTTTCATTATATTGTTTTTACCATCTGTTAAGTTTTGTTGTTGCTGTCTTCATTTCATCCATGTTTATTGTCCTTAAGCATCTTTCTTCAAACATTTAGTTAGGTGTATAAACTTTTATCAGGTGACTTATTTTTTTTATTGTCATTACACTTTCTTTTTGTGAAATTTGTTTGCATTATAACCATGCAAAATTCACAAATTCTGAGGTGATTTTTTATTATTAGGAGACAGATTGGTTTTTGTAGAAGTTGCCAGAGCAGTTTTTGTCTGAAAGTAAACAATAAGTGATGCATTCAGTTCCCCTCCCTCGGCCACCTCCATCGTCACCAAACATCTGGGTTTACTTGCACTTGACTTCACTTGTTCCTGGGTTCCTGACACAGTTTTAAAAGATTTCTAGCTTTGTACTCATTTTGAAAAAATACAATATCTTTATCATAAAAAGAAGCCAATTAGCTTATTGATAAGATTATAGTTCTTATTATTGGATGAGATATTGTACTTTCACAAGAAGAGGGAAGGTAAGCTGGTGATCTGCTGCCATAGTTGAGACTGAGTATCCAACGCTGTGTGGATTGTCAGAAGAGCCCAGTGCTTGGCTCTTTGTAAGCCATACGTTATGGACTTCAGGAGTCTTGTGTGTTCAAAGAAGCAAATGTACATATTTGCATTTGAAGATTTCACAAGGATTTTGTACTGTTGTAGTATGATAGTTGTACTAAGGTCTAACATTTACTTTTTATTTCTGTCACTTAGGAATTCCTTTCCTCAGACTTCTATTGTTGAGTGACAGTTAAACCCGGTGTTATATTTTGTTGTTTGTAATATAGATAAAATAATTTTTTCCAGTTATCAGTAAGGTTTTATTCATTGCAATGTGTTGCTTTGACAGATCCAAGAGCTTTTGTATGTATGCTGCTACAGCTCCGTGGCTATGAAGGATGTAGGAATGTGTAGTTCAGTGTGTAGTTACAAGTTGTAGCTTATTGGTAAAAACATCAACTCTGTTGAGAAAGCAAAGATTGTTTATTTTGTCTTGTGCTTATAACATTTGTGAAGGACAGAATGTCAAATTATATTTATAACCTGTAACTTTATGTTGCAGCTGACACACAGCTAGGTTTCAAGGGGGATCAAGAAAAATTCTGTCTTCTGATGTTAAAAAGACTGTCCAGTATATTTATAACTGCCATTTTCTGTTTCAGAAACAGAATTACCACTTAGGCCTAACTTGGAATTTCTTTGTACCTTGAAGTACTGTAGCAACTATTCTCACTTGGCATACTTCAAGTGGACCCCAGCATTGGAAGAGTCTTTTGTAAATTTTTGGGAGCTGATGTTTATATCCATTTTAGTAATTACACACATGCTACCTTTCCTTTTCTTGCTCTCATATTCTCTTTCCTTTTTCACTTGTATATTGTATATAGAAATGCATATTTAATTAGATTATAAATGAAATGGTTAATAAAATCCATGTGTAAAGATTGGATTGATGTGAAGAGTGCATGGTGTACATGAAGAAATCATAATTCTTGTAGAATGGAAAGCTCTTAAGATACTTTTGTAAAAGTATATTTTATATCCAATGAGCTATGCTGTCTCTTATTATTTTGTAGTGCTAGCCACGGAGCTGAAGACGTGCAGTGGAAGTGTTCCAGAAAAGACCATGCATTTCTCTTTCTTTCAGCTTTCTGCATACAATTAGGAAAACTTGTCCATTTTTATAAGAGCATCTCAGAAAGCACAAATGGGATAACTGCGGCTATGTATTGCAGCCCACTCTGAAATTAGATAGAGTTGGAGGTATCAGGATGTGTATGTATATATATTGTAATTGTAAAAGAAGTGCGATAAGATAATGGACTTTTGTGTATGAGAAAGTTGCATGTATCCATATAGGTAAGTTTTCCCAGTGTTGAAGGCAGAAGGAGACGGATACAGTAGCCTGTAGAAGCCTGCCAAACTTTGATGTTATATTGTAAATGGTATATCCATGGCTTCGGATGAGAATTTATTCAATATATCTGTTAATTGCTGAGCAGGATGCCAGTTGGAAGGTCAGCTTCATAATCTGAATGGACAACAGCAAGGGGCTGAGTCTCCTTTACTTAGTACAAAATAATTTCATTACTCTTATTTTAATTCTGGAAATAACACCTGCAAGTGAGAATTTATTGTAATATTTTTCCTCTTCAGTTGCCCAGCCAAGAGCTGAGGGACCAAATGCTAGATGACCTACTTGATCCTAAGTTTTACGCAGTTACCAGCATGATCCACTGCCGTTGTGCACTTTCATGGCCCATCGATCCCTTGTAGTGGGAGAGATGAGCAAAAAGGGAGGGAATGAGCAAATGTAAAGGAAGACAGGTATGATTTGTGTTTGTACTTAAACAGGGGAAAGACAAAAGGAGTAGAAGTTCCATTTCATCATGAGAAGCAGTGCAGAGGAGAAAGATTCTCATTTTCCAAGTGGTTTGAGGAATTCAGCATCAGCCAGAAGACAAAACAGAACAGTGAGCAGCATGTCGGGCAATAAGTCATGCCTTCACTGAAGTGCCTCGAAATGATAGTGACTTCCCCGGCCATGGTACAGTTTGCAGAGCGTTATTCATGTGACAAATAGAATAGGATAATCCTGTGGATTTTTCTTAATTCCATGTGCTGTAAAATTTAGATCATGCCAATAAATCTGTAACCATGAATGATGCACAAGGTTATGGCTGCAAGTAACCAAGCCAGTTTTTATGCCATTGATGAAGTGATATTCACAAATTTTTGTTGGTAACATCTCTGTTAATTTTCTTCCCTTGAGAGTATACTGAATCATGTATTTAAGGGTAATAATGAACAATGTGTTTTGCATCAAACATGTATACTGTCACATATATTGTAGCAGTTTCACATCATCTTGTGCGTCTGTATGCATGTATATGCATTATCTTATTTTTGGTATTTTGATAAAAAACATTTAAACACCCCACACCACACACACACATTAGTTTACACAAACACACATGTGCATGCTTAAAGACATACATGCATAGATATTCTTAGATTTGTATTTTTATTTACATGCACACACACATACATTTACATGTATACATTATTATATATTTAAAAGTAGGTAAAATTCACAGTTGAAAGCAATGGAGTTGAAATTATCCTAAGTTGAATTTTGGTATGCCATGACTTATTCCAACGTTGTTTTGGCATACCTTATCTGTGATACCATGGAGAGAGCAATGCATTATGATGACAGAAAGAGAGAAGAGAACAATTCATCCATCTTGACACAAAAGGGATCTTGGTTATGTAGCATCTGGGTACAACCTGGCTAGGGTCGACTCCCCTACAAACTATTGCTAAGCAAATATTACCTGTAAAACTTAATTCTTTAAATACAACAAATTTGCCACAGTTCTGGTGTCTTAGTAACCTTTGGTTTGTGTATATATATGCACAGATTATACACTGTGAAAGAGATAAATGGTGAGACAGAGAAAAAAATACACTTGAAAATATGAGTCACTAGGACCACAACTGCTTGTTTTTTGCATTTGTGTCTGTTCCCTCTTATATACAAGTTTTAATGAAATGAACTTTTTAATGATCCGTAACACAACCTAGGGCAAAAAAAACATTTTTTTTTTGTTTTTTATTAAAAATGAAAATATTAAAGTGGACAGATTCTCAGATGCTGAGGGCCACATAGCAAAAAGTGCAAAATTGTGCCAGAAGAACAGAAAATGCAAACGTTAAGTCTTCACAGAGCTCGAAGTAAGAGCAACACAAGTTGGCGAGTTGGTTGGTAAATCACTTACGAATTAAAGTTTTTGGACAACCTATCTAGCGTCAGGCACTTGTCTGAGGCTTACCTTACACGTTCACTGTGCTAGTGTTGTTACCGAACACTGCCTGGTTGAGTTTTAACATTGGGGCAATGTCTTAGTGGTCTGCACATGGTCTGCTTAGCATGCTTAGATATTTGTGCATTTTCAAGGCTGTGACAGGCAGTTCATCTTGAGTTGTACTTTACACAACCAGGGGCTGGGATATATATTTCGAGATCAGCCAAGTATGTGTATAACCAGAGACAGTCTCGGGCAGTGTTATAAGAGGAGCTGTCCCGGGTGGTGAGAGAAGTTGAAGGCAAAATGCAAGACCGTCTCAGATTGCATTTGTAAATTTTATTCCAAATGTTAGACATTTTTTGCTAATATCACATTGGTTGTCTAGCTATTAAAATGCAACGATCTGAAACATTTTTGGACTGCAATAATTACTGGGACACTTCTGTGCCAAAAGATATTTTCCAACTTTGATCGGACGTCTTTTTGGTTGAAATCTTGTAAAAGTTATCTTATGACAGTTTAACTTCAGGAACCGCCAGCAGTCCTAAGTTAACACTAAATGACATTCAATAAATATGATAGATATTTTACGTAGACTGTGACATCTTTAGAGTATCGAAAAAAATTGTCTGTGGCAGCAGTTGTTCTCATCAGAAACGAGATCACGTTCTATGGACATGCAGATGTATTCATTCTTAGTCACAAAAATCCACAGCCACCTTTAACTTTCCCATGTTAAATTAGCGAAGATTGTTTTCAACAACTTTTAGAAGAATAACCATCTGGTACATTAAAAATTTCGTGAGAATGCCGCATGTGAGGAGGTAATGCTTTAAATACCCCATGCATGAGAACCTGGCGGCATCACAGTTGGGCAGATTCACAGCTGTTTTTTTATAACAATTTGTTCATGAAAAGGTCCGACATAATGATTAAACTTCCAGACAGCCTTAGTGCCAGGATTTCTTGAGCTTGAAAACACCAAGGCAGCTTTTCACCCGTGGATGACCGGCGAGATTACGACTTTTGGGAGTGCGTCGGCATGCATCTCCGACGGACAGCGCTCCAGCCGACGAAGGTGGGCAGGATGGGGACGAACTTCGCCCAGCCCCACCTGCAATGGCAAACTGTTATTGGCACTGCTGAGACGGAATGTTGGATGGTTATATAACACAGACAAGATTTCGGATATTGTTTACAATCAGAACTACATATATTGTGTTACACGTAACAAAAGTATAGATTAAAAAAGTAAAACAGGTGTTACCATTATCCATTCGTAATTTCCCATAAACGAAACCCAAAGATATTGTTTTCAACTCCACCCGTTATATTTCCTGAAGTTTTTGAACATGTAATCGGTAAGACCTTTAACCAATTATTAAAGGGATCTGGGAAGCCTCACACTGTGCAAAGATATCAGTGAACCACAACTTTCTTTTTACTCGTATGTCACTGCCTATCATTAAAACTCACAGGAGTCCTCGTTACTGTCAGTTATTACTAACAAATATTCTAAATCCAGACACCCCAATCTCCACCATTATTCCAGACACTCCAGTGACTACTTCCCCGGTACCCACTCCTCTTCCTCCTCGCCCAACTCCTCGCACAAGACAATCTAAACGCTCCATCCCCTCTTCTACCCCATCCTCTCCACCAACCTTTCCTTCCACCTCTCAAACACCTGTCCTCTTTTGTCCTCCATAAGAAAACCTTTGTTTCTCTGACGTCCCTAATCGACTCCACAGCAGAAACTTTCGAAGACATTCAAAACGATCTAATCATGACCCAAGGTAACATGCCGACACCTCGTCCATCCTTCAATCTCTCTACTCCCATTCCTTCTCCACTCACAGTAACTGCTGATATCCATCATCCCCTTACTCGTGTTCCCCCTTCACCCCTTCCTCCCAGTCCCTCCCAACATATCCCATTCCCCCTGCTTCAACTGCACCATTCCCTCTTCCTTCCCCGTTGTCCTCCCGCTCCCCCCTGGAGGTGACCCTTTGCCACAGCAACGCCCTTCCCTGGATTCTCTCCCTCCTGACATTCCCCACACATTTTTCTTTGAGGACTTTGATGTAATCGCCCTTGATAATTCCTACCTTTCTGAACTGCTATACGACTTCTGACGTGTAGCGCATTTAATCATAAACTACCCCCCCTGATAACCCTTTTTCACTATTACAACTTTCTATTTTTTTTTTGTTTTGTAACCATTAAACATTCACTAACACAAATATTGTACCTGAGAGTACAGACACCTGACAAGGTGAACGATGGCTTGGGCATTTGTGTTCCCAAACTTCAGTCATGTAATCCTTGAGCGTTTCCGGCCACGTGTTCTGTGTCATATAATTGCAGCCATCTCATTCCCAGCAACATAGTCCTCACCCCCCACACGGTCACCACATCTCTCAATACCCACACAGCCATCATTACCTTCTCAGTCACCAAACCAACATGGCTACTCAAAGGCCTTCTTTAATTTTGTCTTCTATCCAGCTCATAGGCCATCACGTCAAAGATAATAAACAAACACATAATCCAGCTAAAATATACACCCGCTAAATGTTTTTTTGTCTAGTGGTTTAAGAATAACAAAACTGATAATAAAATGCTAATACCATCGCAGAATATATAGATCTGGTGCTTATGAAAGTCGATTGCTAACTTATTCAAGATATGTCTATGTTCCTTTGTAGTTGGTACAGTACACTGAAAGTCCTCCCGATAGCCACCATGATGAACTCATTACCATACAAAGGCGTATTCAGGTCATGTAAGGAACGTGATGTGTGTGTTTAGGACAACTGCCATCTACTCATAAATACTGACGTAAATAGCATAGTGGTTATGAAAGGAAAAGTAATAACAAGAGTCATGTTCAATCACCGAAATCGAGAGTACGGAATATTTACCATGTGGAGTAAATGCAAAGCGCAAATGTGCGAAGGAAATACATACACACGGAAGAAGGGCATTCCCACGGGGAGGTCGTAGCAGCGCACGTCTGTGGTCACGACGTTGTTCTCGTCCATCTGGGGCTTCAGCTGCGCCTTCCACTTCTTCATGCCTCGCTCCTCGTCCGTGCCTACGGCCGCGAGAAGGGGGGGGGGGTTAGGCAACGTCTTGTTTACGAACACATATTGCATTTGTATGTGTCAAGCCGAGCTAAACTAAACAGGATTAAACAGATATCCTTAGGGCATAACTTTTCTTGATGCCACCCTACTAATTTGTAAAACAAGCTTCCTTCATAATTCCACATAAAAATCACTGATGTTTAAAGAACTACACAAGGCATCAGTTATGATGTCTCCATAGTAGATTTTTTATGTTAGTAATCGAATATAATAACCTTAAGAAACAAAATCCTTTTTTTACTGTTGTACATTTATCATATTATTCTTTAAAAATGTATACTGACAGACTTTCATAAAAAAAAATCTTTTTATAAGTAAAACTATTTATAAGTTCAGTAAAGACAGGTTCCATAATGTGACGGCAGTTTTAGCTGATGGAAAGCGAAAGAGAAAAGAACAAGAGAAACACTAAACGAAGAGGTGAAAGAGAGTGGGAAGCCCTAAACAGGGACAAAGGGAAGGCCCTGAAGATGAATAAGATGGAGACGAACCTGGGATCGTGTTGTCCAGAACGAAGCCCAGGAAACCACCGACAAACATGGACGTCCGGAGCAACACAGACAGCACTTGGTCCAATAAAGGCAGCGACGTGTTGATGATGTACTTGTTCTCGGGCCTTTGCATCCACTGCGGAGGAGAAGTGAATGCGCTAACGAAAAGATTATGGCATATGTACTCTCTTTCTCCTTCCTTTCCTACCTTCCCTTCCTTTTCATTCCTTCCTTCCTTCCCTTCCTTTTCATTCCTTTCTTCCTTCCCTTCCTTTTCCTTCCATTCTTCCTTCCCTTCCTTTTCATTCCTTTCTTCCTTCCCTTCCTTTTCATTCCTTCCTTCCTTCCCTTCCTTTTCATTCCTTTCTTCCTTCCCTTCCTTTTCATTCCTTTCTTCCTTCCCTTCCTTTTCATTCCTTCCTTCCTTCCCTTCCTTTTCATTCCTTCCTTCCTTCCCTTCCTTTTCATTCCTTCCTTCCTTCCCTTCCTTTTCATTCCTTCCTTCCTTCCCTTCCTTTTCATTCCTTCCTTCCTTCCCTTCCTTTTCATTCCTTCCTTCCTTCCCTTCCTTTTCATTCCTTTCTTCCTTCCCTTCCTTTTCATTCCTTCCTTCCTTCCCTTCCTTTTCATTCCTTTCTTCCTTCCCTTCCTTTTCATTCCTTTCTTCCTTCCTTCCTTTTCATTCCTTCCTTCCTTCCCTTCCTTTTCATTCCTTCCTTCCTTCCCCTCCTTCCTTCCTTCCTTCCCTTCCTTTTCATTCCTTTCTTCCTTCCCTTCCTTTTCCTTCCATTCTTTTCCTTCTTTACCTTCCTCTTTCATCCTTCCCTCCCTCCCTCCCTTCTTCCCTCTTTCCCTCCTTCTCTCCCTCCCTTCTTCCCTCTTTCCCACCCTCCCTCCCCCTTACCATGGGGAGCGCCATCCCGAAGAAGAGGGAGAACCCGATGACGAAGAGGTTCCTGGGTGAGTTGA